GCTTACATATACCAGTTAGAGATGATCTTAACCAAGTTCTTTCTTCCAATGGAATATGCACATCCAAAGTCCTCTTACCCCCCTTCACATCACAACCACTATTCCTCTGCTGATTCTCCATAATATCCCTTCCCACTACCGCCTCCTTGTAAGATCTTCCATCATGAAATTTACTAAGCAGCTCCCTCTTCCTAGTCTCAACAAGGCTTATTGATCTCTTCCCACTCGACTCCTTTTCTCTTTCCACTCCTGACCCCACTCTAGGAACTTGCTCACGGCCTCTCTGAACGCCTCTCTTCTGATATTTTGCAATCGACACCGATATTCTCCTGCCGTCTACCAAAGCGTTATTCATCCTATCCTTTGCATTGAACAGATCCTCCTCACTTGCAAAATGCACAAAGGCGAATGTGTAGTTCTTGTACTTTGGCCTTCTATTAACAAACGGAATGAATACTTTAATCACCTTGCCGAAATAACTAAAACGCTCCCATAAAACACTTCTATGAACTCTCCTGCTAAGATTATCAATGAACGCTACCCATACTCCTTCGCCAGGCAGTGCTCCGCCTCTGTCTGAAGAACCAATACCATTCGCCACGCTCACTCTCTCACTAACTTTCTCACTCATGTTGATGAAACTTTTTATCACACAAACTTGCTGGGTGTCAATTTTAGAGGAGGAAAGAGTGCTTTTGCAAAGAAATTTTCAGAATTGAATCATAACAAAGGGGAGGAGGGTGGGAATTAATCCCTCAGCATGGGGTAGGTGTAATTTTTAGTTGAAATGGTTGGATTCTCGTGTGTTACTTAGAATATCAAGGGATTAGGAAGGAAAGAAAAGGTGAGGCAATTAGGAAGATGGTTATCAATCGGAAGCTTTCATTTCTTTTTATGCAAGAAACAAAATTAGAGAGGGTGAGACCTTCTTTGTTAAGAAAGTTAGAAGGCAAGTATCTTGGTGGGTATGCAGAGTCTTCATCAGAAGGAGCATCAGGTGGTCTCTTAAGTCTATGGGATGAAAATTGTTTCAATCCTCAATTACAGCATATATTGTTTAGATTAATAGCAATTAAAGGAATGATTAAGGTTGTACATAGACATATTGATTGGATCGGTTTCTAGTGAATGACAATTTTTTATTGATGTTCCCAGATAGTGTTCAGGTTCTACTGCCAAAATCTCTTTCGGATCATAATGCAGTGGCATTGGATTCGAGTAAGATTAACTGGGGTTCGAAACATTTCAAACTCTTTAATTATATTATGGATGAAGTTGGATTTCAGAGAATGTTAGAAGGAAAGATCAATGAGATGAAGGTGGGGAAAAGGAGTATCAAAAGATTATTAACGGAATCAAATGAGGTGATAAAAAGCTGGTAAAAAAATAGCCATTTGCAATTACCGAAATTCATTGAGAATTTAGAGAAGTCAATTTCTGTTCGGTAAGCAGAAGTTCAAAGTGGGAATCCAATGGTTTCGATGGAGGACATTGTAAGAGATAAGAGAGAACTTTGGTCTTTGTACAAAAAAGATGAACTTATTTGGTTTTAAAAATTGAGGGCGATTTGGATACGGGTTGGTGATCGAAACACAAAATATATTTCCACCAGTGTGCATCGAACAGAGGTAGAATTAACGCTTTAAAGTCGCTGGAAGTGGATGGTACTCAGACTTTGGATCCAAATTTAATAAAATCCCATATCTTTCTTTATTTCAAGAAAGCATATAATTGTAAGCCTACTTTGGAGGTGGAATATTTGGAGCTTAATTTCATAAGACTTTCCGAGGAGCAGAGAGATGGTTTGGTAAGGAATTTTTCGGAAGATGAAATTTGGGAGGCAATCGCCTCTTCGGATAGTAATAAGGCTCCGGGGCCGGATGGGTTGAATATGGGATTCTTTAAGAGATTTTGGCCGGTTTTGAAAGATGAAATTATGAAGTTTTTTAAAGGGTTCTATAAGGGGAAGAAACTTAGCAAAGGTGTGAATCACTCTTTTATTACGTTAATTCTGAAGAAATCGAACCCGGTTGGAATAAAGGATTATAGGCCTATTAGTTTGGTAGGGGTTTGTAGAAGATTCTGTCTAAAGTTCTTTAAAAAAGATTAAGGTTGTACATAGACATATTGATTGGCCATTCACAGTTTGTATTCATTCCTGGTAGACAAATTTGTGATTGTTCCTTCATTGCTAATGAAGGCATTGACTATAGGAAGAGGAAAGGTTTAGTGTTCAAAGTGGATTTTAGTAAAGCCTATGATACTTTGGATTGGGAGATCTTACTCAAAATTATGGAGTACATGGGGTTTGGTCAGAAATGGTGGTCTTGGGTTCTAGAGTGTTTATCTTCAACTTCCATTCCAGTTTTAGTGAATGGCTCTCCCACAAAAAGTTTTAAAGTTTCACGGGTTTTACGCCAAGGGTGTTCATTATCATCGCTTTTGTTCAATTTAGGGGCTGAATTTCTTAATTTGTTGCTTTCAAAAGCAGTTGAGTTGTTTGATGGTTTTCAGATTGGATGTGACAATAATTCTTTCTCACTATCTCATTTGCAATTTGCTGATGATTTGATAATTTTTTGCAAAGCTTCAGAAGCTCAATTAAAGAATTAAAGAGAATTTTGGTTATCTTTGAATTGTGCACTGGAAGAGTAAGATTTATGGCATAAATGTGGATGATCATATAGTCAAAGAGTGGGCAAGCTCTATTGGGTGTAGTTTTGGCGTCTTTCCGACGGAGTATCTGGGGCTTCCTTTGGGTGCAAGTAGAAATTCGGTTACCCTTTGGGAACCAATTATCAAGAACTTTTTTCACAAGCTGGCTGGGTGGAAAACAAGAACTTTATCCCTAACGGAAAGGGTTGTTCTAGTTAAATCAATCTTGAATTCGCTACCAAACTATTATATGTCCTTATTTAAAATGCCGATTGGAGTTCGGAGAAAGTTGGAAGATCTAATGGAAAATTTTTTGTGGGGTTGTACTGCTTAGAAAAATCGGATACACTGGGTAAAATGGTCGACAGTTTTGTAAAAAGAAAGATTTTGGGGGTTTGGGTATCACCAATTTAAATTTGAGGAATAGGGCTCTTTTGGGAAAATGGGTGTGTAAGTTTAGTAGTGAGGAGTCTTGGTGGAAGAGGTTGGTTTGTTGTAAGTATAATTTAGATAGAAGATCTATTGCGATGGACAATTATACATCCTCCCTTGCGTCTTGGCTTTGGAAAGGAGTCATTAACAACTATCGGTTGAATGATGCTTTTGGTTTGTGTTTTCGTAATCATCTTATTTTACAAGCGGGGAAGGGAGAATCACTTTTGTTTTGGTATGATAGTTGGTTATGTAATTCACCGTTGAAGTCTAAATATCTAAGGTTGTTCGCTTTGTCAGTCAAAAAGGATGGGGTAATTGCGAACTACGGAAGTTTTAGCAATGAGAAGTGGGTTTAGGATATTCAATTGAGAAGAAATTTGATGGAGAGTGAGTTTTCTTTATGGTATGAATTGTTTCTTCTGCTGGAAAATGTTCGTATTGACTCAGAGGTGGATGATTGCTACACTTGGAAGGGTAACGGGGAAGGTATTTATTCGGTTAAATCTTTTACTAATTTAATCTCTACCTTGTCAACTCCGGAGTTGTAAGATACTAAGATAGTTTGGACTAGTTTAATGCCTCCAAAAATAGAGGTGTTTATTGAGGCGGGGAATTAGAGGTATTGAGGATTCTTCCTGTTCAGTTTGTGGCGAGGATACTAAGTTGGTGAGCCATTTGTTCTTTGAATGTAAAGTTGTTTGGGGGATTTGGGTGAGATTTCTTCAAATGTGGAATTTATATTCTGTTTTACCTAATACTCCCGAAAGTTTCCTGTTTTTCTGGTTGGATTTAGTTACTCAATCGAAAATTTGGAAATTTGTGTCGGGTGCTGTTTTGTGGACTGTGTGGAAATGTAGAAATGACGTTGTGTTCGAGAAGGATAGTTTGGATAAAGTTAAGCTCTTTTTTCTGGTCAAGTATAGGGTGGCTTCATGGTTCTTGGCTAAGATTCTTATATTTCTATCCCTCTGAACTACCTAGTAGCAGACTTAACTTTGGCTGATCAGCATCATATTCCTTCGAGGTTTGTTTTGTTCAAGTCTAAGTGGTGTCCCCCACCCCCGGGTTTCTTAAAACTTAATGTTGATGGGGCAGTTAATTTTGACTGGAGATGCAGTGGTGTTGGTGGTGTGCTAAGAGATGCTGATTGTAAAAGGTTGGAGTTTTTCTCAAGATTGACTGGACCAGGCCCCCCGATCCTTGCTAAGTTAAAAGCAATTCATGCTGGGTTAGATTTGTTTTTGAAATCGGTTTGGAGGGATAAATGAAGTCTAATTCTAGAGAGTGATTCTTACAATGCACTAAAGTGGATTTCCAATCCAGAGACATGTCCATATCTTTATGTTCAAGTGGTCAGAGTTATAGCCAAGTTAGTTAGTTCAATGTAACTACTAGGCTTGTTAACAGATATATAAATGTGGAAGCTAATCGTTTAGCTAAATCAGGCATAGGATAGCACAAGGGTTTGTGTTTTGTTTGTATTTGGTGGTTGTCTTTGGGGTTAGTTTAAAGGGGTTTTATGTTGTATTTTATGTTCTGAACTAGTTGTATCTATTGCTATAGTAATAAATCTTTGGGCACTCTTTTCCTCCTTCCTATGATCATTGAGTTTCTAGGAGCTTAATGGTTATGAGGGGTTTTTTAATGAGGCCCTATTTCTATCAAAATAATATAGCAAAGTGATAGAAAAGTATAAAAAAGTGTTGATATAACACAACAATTATTTCTAGTAAATTTTAACATATTACAGAAGTAAAAAATTATTGGCATATTCTAACTATAATGCGCATACCAGAATTCAGGTAGACAATGAGCACTGGGTTGCATCATTAACCACAAAAACATAAATTCAAGAGTTTTATTTAGATGATGATTGTCAAACAATTCCTCTACTTCCAACAAAAGCCAGGCTACATAGAGAGACAAACCTTTCCTTTTTCAATTTTCTCAATTCCAGACCCATTGCTTCGCAAACCATGTATTTTATCACCAACACGAACTATTCCAGATGAGACACGCCCAGTCAAAATTCGCCCAAGATAAAAGTCTTTTTCCATCATGGAAACCTGAAATGGTTATCATGTAATAATAAGTTTACAGCAATGAAAGAAATGAGGAAGGAAAAAAAGGACCCCAGGTACAAATGTAGAACACCCAGGTGGGTGCACAACCCCCCCCAAAAAAAATCTCCTTTTCTCCTATTGAAAACATAGACACATTGTGAAGTGGTCAATCAGTATGAGGTGTTTAAGTCTTATGTAATTAGTGTTAAGGCTTTTAAAGTATGTTGTAAGGGATGGCAGTGTATTATTCTCCTGATTAATAAAAGTAATAGGCACTCTTTTCCCTCTTCCATTGTCCTTCATGTTACTATAGTACTATGGAGGGTAATATGACGGTTTGTAATGAGGTCTAATATTCTATCAAAAAAAAAAATGGTCAATCGGTAACGAATACCAACCAGCATTTGGAAAGGTCCATCAAGGTTTGCTTTTGGTGGAGGAACATGCCTTACAATGGCATCAAGCAACTGTGACATATTCTTTGCACCAGCAGGAGGATCTTTAGTATAAGTTGAAGATGCCCAACCTTCTTTAGCAGAAGCATAGAGGACTGGAAAGTCAAGCTGTTCCTCTGAAATGAAAATATGAGAAAATTTATTAATATTATACAATTATCCAGGTTAGGAATAGGGCCAAATGCAACAAATCTGAAACAGGTTAATCATAGAACTTTTAATATTTCTACATTGTTTCACCTGTAGCACCGAGATTTGCAAAAAGATCGAATACTAGACTATCAACTTCATTGCATCTCTCCTCTGATACTGCATCATTAACAAAATGACGTAAGGTCTAAAGATTCTTCCATTTGCATAACAAAAAAGAAGAAAGAAAAGGGGATAAAAATATCAAGCTAGTAAGTAATTCCACAACAACAGGTAAACATTCTTACAAAAATAAAGAATCATGAAATAACATTTCAGTTTCAGTAAATTGAAAGATGAAGCAAAAATAACAATTAATTTTATACCAGAAGGTCGATCTACTTTGTTCAATAGAAGAAGAGGGCGCAGCCCATACTTCAAGGCTTTGGCAAGAACAAATTTTGTTTGTGCAAGTGGCCCCTCACCAGCATCAACAACTAATACTGCTCCTTCAACCATGCCAACAACACGTTCAACCTGAAGATTCAGCAAGCAAAACCCAGTAAGTTGCATGCTTTAAGTATCAAAAGAGTGCAAATTATGCCCACTATTTGCATTTTCAATCAAAACTGTGTTGCCTTCCGGTAAATCACCATTGAATGATAATATAAAGAACAGAAAAAACTGCTTGTCTAGGTTATTAGTATAACAACGAATCAAATTACAAACTTTTTGTACCTAAATATGTAACTTGCAGCTTACCTCACCACCAAAATCAGCATGTCCAGGTGTATCAACCATGTTTAACTCGTTTTCTTTCCATGAAATACTAGTGACCTGCAATTGTTCAACTCTATCATTGAATGAACCAAAAAAAAATGCTACTCAACGTTAGCTGCATTTGGAATTATGTAAAGAGTACGAAGAAGAGATAGACCTTGGACGCAATGGTAATACCACGCTCACGCTCGAGGCTGATGGAGTCCATGGCTCGCTCGTGGGGGATGTCTGCTCCACACTGCCTCAGGAATCGGTCCATGAGCGTGGTTTTCCCGTGGTCGACGTGTGCAATCACTGCCACGTTCCGAAGTCTACCAGGATCCAAATATGCACTCGGGTCTGTTGAGGCGGCGGCGGCGGCAGGGCCGGAGGAGAAGCGGCGGTAGAGGCGGGGGAGTGGGGCCAAGTGAGAGGAAAGGGATTTCCTAGAGGTTGAGGACAAGAGAGAACGAAGGAGAATAGGACCTTCCATTTTCTGATCCCAGCTTCCTCCGTCCAAAAACCAAGGGTTTTTCTTGGGTTTTGGGGGTTTAAGCTCCGCAGCTTGGAGCTTATTGGGATCTTTAACTTCGACGGTAGCGAAGCAAAGGGTAAGATGGTTTCGCCTTGTAGGCCAATCGTTTCTCTTTATAATATAGTTTTTTTTTCAATTAGGTACCTAATTTTTTAATATAATTAGTTATTTTAGTTTTGGTTTTTATTCAAATTGATACTTATTATTTATAAAAAAAAATAGAACTATAAATAAATCAGGTTTGAACGGAAAGTTTGTATTCATATTTGTTTGTTATTATTAATTTTGTTTGTGTTTGATTCATATTCGTTCGTATATTTGAATTTGAATTTTATGTTTGTGTTTTTTAATGTTTTGTTTGTGTTTAATTTTAAAGTTGTGTTTGTGTGTTCAAAATTGTGTATATTTGTATTTTGTTTGTTTAGTGACCACATAAATGTTCGTTTAACATGTTTGCAGATACTAATCAATCATGATTAAATATTAAATGAATATGTTTGTCAATATATTCATGAAAATATAATTAAATATTTCTACGAACAATTATAGAAATATTTTTTGAATCATAAAGAAAAGGGTTGTAAATAAACATTTTTATTATTATTTTTTGATATAAAGTTGTACGACCCTAAAATTTTCTTTGAAGACTAAATCGATAAATTTGATTATCTTGAGGACTAGTTGAGTAAATGTTCATGAGTTATTGAATTAAATTAGATTTTTGAATAAAGGGGTTAATTCTTAGAAATTGAGTGTATGGAAGATTTAGGATTAAATTGAAAGAAAAGAATTATGCATGAAAAAAAAAATTGGATTCTTTACTAATATTTTACTAAAAAAATTATAAAAGCTTGTCTAAGCAACCTATATTAGTCATTAGAATTTGATGAAGATTTCCATCTTTATTATAGAACATTGGGTCTATTGATTTTGAGTGAATTATTTTAATTGAAAAATGAAAAAAGAAAGATGAAAGAGAGTACAAATCACTCATAAAAGAACCGATGAAGCAAAACAAATAAAAATTGATATTCTTAATCATAATTATAAAAATTTCAAGATGAAATCGCATGAATATGTCAAGACCATGACATATAGATTCTTTGTAATCGTCAATGGTCTTAAATATTATAGAGAATTCATCCTTGTTGGAAAAGCAATGGATGAAGATGGTTTATTGTCTATTAAGTCTTGGTAATAAAATAGTACAATAATCATCGAAGCAAAAACCCTAAAGTCTCTCACTCTTGATGAGTTTATTGGTTCCTTCCTCACTCATGAATTGATAGTAAAAGATGATGAACAAGAAGAAAATAAAGAAGATAAAAGGCAAGTTGGTGTTGCTTTAAGAACCTTTACACGAAAAGAAAATAATTCAAGTGAATAAGAGGAAAAAGAGGATGACTCGAGAAGCTCGCAATAAAAATAATGAACTAAAAATTTAGATTTTTAAATTGAATTATTAATAATATTAATATTTATATGTTATTCTTTTTTAAAATATAATATATGATTTTTATGTACTAAAAGATCAAGTTTGAGTTTAATTGTTAAATCTACGAATTTTTCAAGTTCTAATTTTTTTGTCAAACTTCAATTTTTTATTTCGAGTTCAACTTGAAAATTTTAAGCTCACAATCTTTTGAATCAAGTCCAACTTTAATTATTTATTTCGAGTCTGAGTCCAACTTTATAATTTTAAACTCATGGATTTTTCAATTGAATCAAATTCAGTTTTATATTTTTCGAGTCAAAACAAACTCAAAATCACTTGAGCTTGATTCGACTCATTTACAACTCTAACCTCAACGGCCACCAACTCATAAAGACTAGATTAATAATGTTTTTGAAATGCATTAAAAGATACTTTTGAATTATATAATTTAAAATTGAAGCATTTAATATTACAATAAAAATTACTTTAAAAAAGTTAATCTTAACATGATATTATAAATTAAAAATATACATCTAAATTTTTAGTAGTAGAATCCATCAATCTTAGTAGTAAAATGGAGATATAAGAGTGATTGAACTTTTATAAATATCATTTAAAGTTTATTTTAAAAATTAATATAACGAGACCTAGAATTTTCAAACTCAAATAATTTACTAACCATATAATCATGTCTTAATAAAAATTATAATTTATATATTATGACCATACCCTCAAATGAAAGATAAAACTGATAGCTTGAAATTTTCGAACACAAAAAATTGAACTTCTTAATAAAAATTATAATTTATAAATTATGAACATACCCTCAAATAAAAGTTAAAACTGATAGCTTAAACTCTTCAAACACAAAAAATTGAACTTTTAGTTTGTGTTTGGATTAAAAAAGAAATATATTTTTCTACATTGATTTTTAGCCCCAAAAGGAAGCAACAAAACGCCAACATATCGTGAATTTCAGTTGATTTCATGACAAACTGCAAATTTGACCCAAGTCACCTGTTCTCTGAGGACGAATGAGAAAGAAATCCCTCACGGCGTTTGTCACAAAAATGACCCAACCATTCCTGTAAATACAATGACCTCTAACGGGTCGGAAAGTAGTACAAACAGAATCCCTGTCACCGTCTTGTGATTAAGCGAGCTAAGACAGCAACGAGACCGAATTTTTCGATACAAAATGCAATTACAACTCAACATTGCTGCCTGTAAAGAATATTAGACCACCAAAGCTAACTACCCAACAAGTTAACTAGTTAAAAGCAAGAGGGGCATTTCTCAAATATATATTCTACACGATCTCAATAGCAAGGTTTCTAACTCAGCTGCACAGTGAATGAACCATGTATACCTTATTTGTTAAAGAATAAACCTCTCTTCTTCCCTTTTCTTCTCTCACCAGCCTGCAAAAGCTAATAAGAGAAATTTCAGCCAACAAAACCTATCAAAACACTATCTTTATATTCTTTTGAAAGCTAGCAAACATGCAAGGGAGCCCACAACTCGACCTTCAACCACAACCGAATTTATGACCCAAGTGCAAAAAACATAAGGAAAAAACACCCATTCCTATTGATTTTGTGTAACATGGAGTGAAACTCTCAAGATTATACATGCCCAAATCTTGGATTGTAATAATGCAGCGAATGTAAAGATGTTGACGAAGTAAACTTGGTTAGATGCATGCATGACAAAACCATACTAAGATTGCAAAATTGATTCCCTTCATTTTGAAAAAAGTTACATTAATGCACCGATAAATAAAATAAGATGTTTTTTGGTCTGAGCTCCATATGACTACTTTCGGAGCTAAAACCAATGATAGAAGCTATTACCGGTCAAAATTGAGCCAAAAATTAAGGAGAAAGAAAAAGGGGAAGTATCGTCCTTCCACAGGGAAACAGAAAAACAATAATACATGATTGAAACCTGTGCATTTTTTACAGGAACGGACTTTAGATGCTTTCAATCTTCAATTTAAGAAAAGAATAACGGTCAACCAGTCCAGAATGAAAAAGTATGTAACCAAGGTAATAGCCACAAAAATTAGATAAAGGACAAAGCACTTTTCAAGAACATATGTATGAAAGCAAAGCAGAAGTTAAGAAATTCTATGTTAATTTTTTTATAAAAAAAAAATAGGAAAATCATCCTTGGATCACCAAGAACCTGTCGGTATCAATATGACTCTTTCTGATGATGTGAAATAGATATCAGAAGCTTTTATTTAAAAATTGAAGTATCAAACTATAATTCAGTAACAAAAAGAAAAGGATTTTCACACTTGAAGGTCTAAAAGTAGATTCACAGATCCAGCATGCCAAAAAACAAATAGTTTGAAGCTACTAATCAGGATTGAGTTTCTATAATAGGTGTGTGCATGTGGCATAACAAAGTCACACCCCTCAGCGTGTAAAGAAAAGAAGTATAGAAAGTGGAGACCAATACCCGTATGATAAATAATCTCAAGGTGAGAACAATTGTATCTCTTGAGCTGCACATATGAAATGCAGATATAAATTAGTTTTATACAGTATAACTTGTCTTAAATCTATAGATGAAAACAATCTTGAAAATTAAAATAAGATGGACACCAAGTTGGCATACACCAATTTCAAAATTTGGCATTGTATATTATATTAGAACTGAAGCTCAGTCATCCGAAACAATGTCCAGAATCGCATAAAACACTTTTGTAGATTTTTATTCTTGACAGTGACAACAGATATACATACAGTACTTTTGGACATATAACCCTCTCCTTAATCTTTAAATAAAATATGAAGAGGTATGCAGAAGCAGGTTTCCAAGGGCCTTTCAAAGGTTTGCCAAAGCTTGCTCTTGGTCCAAGGATTTAATTAGGCACATTTATAAAATGTAATGTAGTTAAGAGCTTCACTAGTTGGTAGGGCTGAGCAACGAAACCAAGAAAACCGAAAAACCGACATTACCCGAGTAAAACGGTTCGGTTCGGTTTCGGGTTGATTTAAAGAATCATTGTAGTTGGTAGTGCACAAATAAGTCCTATCTATAGATAATCTATCTTTACAATGGAAATTAGGCACATTCTGAAAGCCTCCAAGATAACCTATTCAGTGCTGTCCTACCAATATTAACTTCAAATTTCCAGACCATGATCTCCATTTAAATTTCATTTTCTTCCACTATGATCTTACTCCAAGGATTTAATTAGGCACATTTATAAAATGTAAAGTAGTTAAGAGCTTCACTAGTTGGTAGGGCTGAGCAACGAAACCAAGAAAACCGAAAAACCGACATTACCCGAGTAAAACGGTTCGGTTCGGTTTCGGGTTGATTTAAAGAATCATTGTAGTTGGTAGTGCACAAATAAGTCCTATCTATAGATAATCTATCTTTACAATGGAAATTAGGCACATTCTGAAAGCCTCCAAGATAACCTATTCAGTGCTGTCCTACCAATATTAACTTCAAATTTCCAGACCATGATCTCCATTTAAATTTCATTTTCTTCCACTATGATCTTACTCCAAGGATTTAATTAGGCACATTTATAAAATGTAAAGTAGTTAAGAGCTTCACTAGTTGGTAGGGCTGAGCAACGAAACCAAGAAAACCGAAAAACCGACATTACCCGAGTAAAACGGTTCGGTTCAGTTTCGGGTTGATTTAAAGAATCATTGTAGTTGGTAGTGCACAAATAAGTCCTATCTATAGATAATCTATCTTTACAATGGAAATTAGGCACATTCTGAAAGCCTCCAAGATAACCTATTCAGTGCTGTCCTACCAATATTAACTTCAAATTTCCAGACCATGATCTCCATTTAAATTTCATTTTCTTCCACTATGATCTTACTCCTCTACCCCTTTAACTCTCTCCTCATCTATTCATTTTTTTTATAGGAATGTGAGGTCTCATTAAAAACCCTCTCCTCATCTATTCATATTAACTCAACTACATATGAGCAGCAGACTGCCAAAGATTAGTCCACTATAGCTACTTAATAAAGCCAATTCCATAATCAATTTAGTAGAATTTTTTATTTTATTTTATAATTAGGTATAAATGACAGATCTTACCTGTGAAACAATTAACATAATGATGACACGTGGAGATAAATTTAATAAGTAATCAACTGCAGTGATTATTTGGTATCATTCAGTTCAGAAGGAAAAGGTCGAGGGTTATACTCGGTGAACTTGGAATGCAAAATACCAAAGAGAAAAATGGTAAACAGGAGTAGCTTAAATAGGGGATTTGAATTTGCATGCATGCACACAAACGGACACAAAAGAGAAAAGTGATGCCAGAAGAGAATCAGAGAACCTTCCAGAACTGGGTAATAACACACATTTTCAGTTCATATTTCAAAGCAGCTGAGGATGATAGAGTCAGACATGGGATCAGTTCACTTGAAATTGATCCTATCAGTGCCATTTGAGCCTTTATTGATAGTGTATATCAAAGTTTACCCTAATGTATCAGTCAATTGTTATGAACCTCGAGAAATAGAGAAGTTGAGATCGAAGAAAATGAGAGGATTTAGGAGAGAAGAATAGAGAATACAGAAGGATTTCTTCATTCATTCATCAGATAAGATTTCTCTCATTCAGCACATAGTTTTATATAATTACAATGTACTATGGCTAATAGATTCTCGACAGATGTACATTCTATAATTAATTGTAACAACTTCATTCTCCTGTTACAAATAAGGCAGACATCTCTGGTGGGCTCCCCACAGGATTCACCGTTGGGGCTTGCTCTCTTTTTCTCCAGAGTCCATCTGTGCCTTACGTGATTCTAATCCCGTGTTAATCCTTTCTGCCCCAATTTCTAAAATCAAAATCCCTAATTCATCTTTTCTCTTTTTCAAAATCCCTAACCATTTCTTTGATTTTTCCAATTCCTTCGCTTCACTTATGAACCCTTCGTTTTGTTCTTCTCCTTCATTCGTGACATCAATATACAAATATTTCCAGATTTATTGAAGTTGTTAGTCTCTGATGCAAATCTCCAACATAAAGTGAAAATATCAAAGGTACAATGAGAAATTGAGGCGCATTGGGCTTTGGGTTGCAAAAGGGTGGTAATCCCCTCCACCCCAAAAGCCAGTGCATAAAGACTCAGGATAAAACATCAAGTCCTAAACATCAAGGTGTCCCCTATGAAAGTTTTTTCCTGCTTTTACTAGAATAGTGTTTATTTTGTTAACTTTCCAGACGTTATTCTCAAATGTACTATGCTTATGGATGCGTAATCGACAAATTTTTATTTATCCACGAGAAACTTTTAACTTACCAGCTAAAATCTTGTGAGCTGCTATCTGCTCGTAACACACGCTGGACACCATTCGATCCAATAATCATAAACTCCAAAGGCTCTTCAAATGTAATTTTAATCTAGAGAAATAATAAATACACAAAATAGATACCAACATAAATAAAGAAGAATGAAAATATGCGAGCACTAGCCGTCTAATGCCTCAGGAGAAATAATATATCAAATGCAGTCAAAATAGGAACTATATTAAATTATTTCCATCAGAAATCAATACATGGGCACAAATATATTTAGACATTTCGATACTGCATGAAAGCATTACTGTAATTAAAGGACAAGACAGATAGTATGATGTTATACTTCATAAATATAATATTAATTATAATACAGATAGTATGAATAACCCTGGATCCCCATCATTATAAAAGTAAGATCTGTTGTGAGATCTGATTTCCTGAAATGATACAACTTTACAGTGCTAGATCCATTTATTGCAAACATCTTAAAAACATGTTTAACTCAGGTTAGCTCTCCTCTCAAAATGTAATTAAGAAGAGAAACCAGGGAAAGCCAGCACTTTTCTTTGGTTCATAAAGTGAACAAAGGAGAACATTGTAAAATGAGGTATTTAGTCTATGCTTATCTGCATTATACAACCTTACTTAAATGTTATTGCACATAGTGGTTAGAGAAACTTCTCACCAAAGTGGAAAGCCTTTGAAAGTTCCCTGATCATGAACTTTGCTTGTCCGAATTGATTGGAGTGATAATAGGAATAAAAGGACTATAGAGCATAAGCCTTGTGCAGAAACAGAGCATCTAGATGTAAAGCTTAGTGTTATAAAGGGGTTTTTCGTCTTCTCGTTTCATCAATCAATCTCTATTTTTCTCAAGAACCACAATCAATTTAGATCTGAAAATTGCTTGAGCAACTCCTCACCAAAGAGGAAATCTCTGAAAGTTCCCTGATCATGAACTTTTCTTGTCCAAATTGACTGGAGTGAATGTGATCACAAGAAGAAAATGAGCAGAGCACAAGTCTTGTGCAGAAACAGAGCATCTAGATGTAAAACTTAATATTACGAAGGCTAGCTATTAAATAAAGAAACAAGTGTGAAGCTTTAGGGGGTTTTGTCTTTTCATTTCACCAATCAATATCCCTATTTTTCTCAAGGACCACAATCAATTTAGATCTAAAAATTGATATCAATCTTAACGTCCTAGCTGTCTTATATCACTCTTACAAGATTTCAAAAGAATAATCAAGTTATTAGCCATACCTGAGTGGTTGGGTAAAACTTTTCGGTAACCACAGGACCATTGAGTCCACTACACTTGATACTGTAACCATCTCTTTTGATAGTCAATGTAGCCAGTTCCCATATATCAAGATATCCTGTCTATAACATAAAAAAACTTCAGAGTTATGACATTGTGATTAAATAAAATTAATAAGCACTAGAAAACTAAATGGAAGCATTTTCACCCAATAGGGCAATATAAACAACTATACAAGTGCGGAAGTCATACCGCATATGAAACTTTATATGAAGCTTGACCACTATGAAGAGTCTTCTCTATGTGGGCTTGCATCTCCGGATCTGTTAAAAGTAAAGGGAAAATGGGGTGAGAAAAGCAGTTAACAAGGGATTGGACAGAGATTCTAACTATCTGGTAAATATAATGGGGATACAGGTAGAGACCCCTCTGTCATTAATTTCCAACACACCCATTATCACCATTTTTTTCTGTGAGACTCTGTTATCAATATGGATAGTCATGTACCCCATAGAAAGATTGGACAAAAAGAGTAATGGAGGGATAGCAAACTATGGATATTGTTATAAACCAACCATCCATCTGACAAAAGAGTCGACAAATATCTTTGTTTATTTAGCACTCTTCACATTCAAAGCACATAACCCAAGAACAATAATTGTTGATACAATCAGCTAGAGGTTTACTAAGTTTTTTCTCTGATTTCAGAAAAACTCATTTACATTCATTACAAATAAAAAGGAATGCTACATAAACATAAAGTATAAATACACTTACCACATGTGATCTTCTTGTGATCATTGGCAAAGACCTTCACCAGCTCTCCCTGAATTGAAACATAAAACAAGTTATTCAAATTGGCAACAATAAGCAGATAGTCTCCCTAGTGCAAAGCAAGTGGTGCCTTGAGCATATTCGAAAACTGCTGAGTACAGTATTACCCAAAAAAGTAATTGCAAAGTTTACAGCAGATAATCATCATATTCATCTTTAGGACACCAATTACTCTCCAACAGTTGGCACCTCCTGATATTGTACGAGCATGGGGAACTTGAAGATTTAGACCAAGATAAATGGTGGGCTAAGAAGTCCTATGAGGCGAGGAATAAAAGAAAGCACATATTTGACGGTTGCCTTTTAGGGACAGACAGGAAGTCAAAGCACCAAAAATAGAAAGAGAACAAATATGTTTTATCTTATTAATATTCTTGATTAGAAAAAATATTTTAGCAAGTATCGTATTGAATATAAGTCCTTAATTTTAGTTTCTTTAATTATAGTTTCTTATTCTACTAGTTAATTTTAGTTTCTTGTAATAAAAGAATAAAACCCCATTTCCTAGTACAAAAATAAGACAAATTATTCCAAATTACAGAGGTCTGAGACTCTCTACCTAAAGAGTCTAAGGTTAGGAGCTCCTTCCAATGACTTTTAAGGTTGGGAGCTCCCTACAACGAGTTCTATATATTTTTAATCATAGGGTTTTCCCAAGACAGGAAATTGGAACAAGATTAAAGCTTTATCAATGGAAGCAAGTTTTCCCCTGAATAGCCGGGTGACCTCAATCCATAACTTGTGACCTTAACAACATGCAAATCTGCAAAGATTTCTTGCAAGATAGACACAAAGTGATTATACGACCAAGTCTCAATTCGCAAAATACATGCCTTCAATTGCCATTGTAATATGCTCACTCTTTCCATTTGAAGGTTCATGTTTGAAATGCAAACATGTTTGTCTACTGTTAAATAGTACAACATGAAACATTTTTTCTTTCCCATTCATAGACAAAGTAAAAAAAAAAAAGCAAAGGACAATAAATTACATGTGAACGCACAAGCTTCCAAATATGGGAAATTGCATGGTAAAGTCAATACCTTGCGTTTCCTGTTATCTAAAGGCTGAACTTCAATAGCAAGGTATGTATCAACATCATCAGCAGTAACAGGATAGTTTGGTTGCTTTGCTCCTGTTATTCAGAACCCTTTTAGAAACATAATCAATAAATAATGGGATTACATTTTAAAGAGAAGTTAGAGAACCTCAAGAAGATGAAAGACAAGAAACTACCTTCAATGTAATTAACAGATCCATCTTCCATATGGCGCGCCCACTGTCATTGCAAGCACATTACAGCATTTAATATACATATTTTCAAATCAAGAGAAATGCTAACTAATACAACGCATCTTCAAACAGATCCAAGAAATAACAATACCCAAAATCCTAAATGTTAAAAATAGAGGGGAGAAAAAATCCTGAAAAAGAACCTCGAAATTACAGCTGGTTGTTCCATTAATAGAATATCCGCACGCCTGAAGTTCCCTTCCTGGATAAGCTTCGCCTGAAATTTGGAGACTTTCTATAGCTGGAAGTGGATCATCTTCTGCAGCTGCACAATGCAATACACAATATATGGCAGCCCATCTTAATGCTTACAGTCAATAATGGACACGTAACAGCTTACCCTCAGAAAAAGAAGATGAAGGCTCTTCAAGAACTGGTGGCGGAAAAGGAGGATAAGAGGAACTGGGGTCATCATGTGCAGTATAAGGTGAGTTTCCTGAACCCCAATTGGAGGGAGGTTCTCTTTCAATTTGAGGTCCCTCAGTATCAGGATAATCCATCTCACTATTGCTGACAGGGTCACGAAATTTAACTTGTTTATTAATAGTCTCTTCACCATATCGCATGGTATTTGTGTCACCCTGAGCTCCTTCTAGCTGCATCGGTACCTCAATAGCAGTAGAAGTCCTGGCAACCATTTAAAATAAAACTTTTGTTTTTAGTTTAACACACATGAATGTTGTCATGCCTTGCCAAACAAAAACACTCGGCATCTGTCCTTATTAGGAATTTATGTGTATTTCTTAAAACAAAATAGACGAGATTATAAGTGAAATTTTTGCCACTCGAAAAAACTATCCATATAGACTATCAACTACAGTATCCTCATTGGACTATTTTTGCAAAATGCAGATGCAGTATAATGTCACAACAAAAGGTTCATATGGGCTCATCCTGAAAATCTAGCTTTTGAAATGTTTTATGCATACAAGGCACCAAAAGGAATTCAATGAAAACAGAACCCACCAACAAATGCAGATGGTTGTAATTTGTACATTCAGTTCACAATAGCACTCTCCATTTGACCAGGCTCACCTGCTTGCTATGTGTGAATACCTCCCCAAATCATCAGGTTCCAAATTTGTCGAAGCAACACCACCACCCAAGCCACCATGGTGCTGACCAGGAAGATCCCAATTTGAGTCTGTTTGAGCATCAGAGATTATCTCTGTCTTTCCTTGGGAATAAACCGGCCTCGGCACCAATTCAAGACCATTTTTGCTCTGTGAGAATGTATAAGAATAAGATAAGAATACCATACTGGTATAAAATTACAGGTAAAAAAAAACATTATAAGCATACTGAAGCTGTCAGTGTTGCACCAAGGGAATGAGATGGAGATTGGGGGGCAAAATTGGAATGATTGACATCCGACCGCCAAGGTGCCAATTGATACTGTGATTCTTTTAGCTTTGACTGAGGCCAGGAAAAGAAAACATAAACAGAATTAAGTATTTACAAGATCAACATGATGCTTAAAATCTCAAACCATCATAATTAGCACAGGCTAACTCCATCAGAACTGGAAAAGAAAAATGCCTCCAGTTATTATAAACAACTTGTTCCACGTAAAATACCTCAGTGATAAGAAGCTTCTCTTGCAGATGTTTAAATAGAACCTGCACGAATCCAGTAGAAACTTTATACCTCTGATTTAAATAGAAGCAGATATGTTTCGACTCATTCAAAACAATTCTTCACTTTGAGATTTTTTGTTCTTGTCTAATATATGTGTTCTTCTACATAAACTCTCTTCAGATATATCTAGGATAAAAGTGGATAGATACGGATACATTATATACCGTGCTACAAGTAACGAACACACACACAAAAGGCAGTTCCAAAAAGGAGAGATAAAAAGAATGTAGGCAAACAAAAATGATATCCTGTTTGTCTCATGATTACAATGGAAATGAAATTCATAAGACATGCATGTTTTTAAATTTAACATTTTAAGAGTCCTACCTATTTTTTTTCTATTTTATCATATTCATCAGAAATTAGCCTAACCACTGCCAATATGACTCAATCAAATTACATGCATCATATTCAAAAAATTAATAGAACAGAGGTATCAAACCAAAAACTACTGAATTAGTTATTTAGATAGATAAGATGCTCATATCAATTATGATAATTTTCAATATCTGGCAAGGAATATCTACACCCATAAATAGCATTGAAGTATCTAACTTGCACTATGAAATTATTGTTGATAGGATTGAACGGTATACTTTCATAGTTTCATTTGAGTTATGGGGAAAAAATCATATCAATATAGACACATAATACAGACAACATCCTGATTTTCTTGCAACTTGATAAAGGGTTTGCATAAAAAACAGATACAGAATTTAGAAACTGACCTTGACGTTGCTTACAATAGATTGAGCATCAGGAACTGGTGGCTGCAGGGAATACTCTGTCAATAGAGGAAGCAAAGATGACACAAAAGTTGTTCTTTCTTGCTGTGCAGCCTGAAAAAAAGGATGAGATATAGAACACTGAAATGTACATCTTTAATAACAACTATGACTGTAATTATCATAACCATATAAAATATTACAATATATTGCAAGCATGCATAAATTCATCATCACAACAAAAGTTCTTTGTTACATGAATTGGAGTGAGGAAAGAAAAAATGAGTTCACAGCTGAAATAGTTTGAGCATTAAGTTTAACACCCAAACAGAATCCAGGAACATTCCAACCTACAGAAATTGAGGGGAAAATAGCAATGTGAAAAGGAAAAGAAAACATTAGCCCTGAAGGTGAAAATTAAATAACATTAAGAAATGAAAAATACCTGTAATTGATATGTTAGACGAATATTTTCCTCAATTATGTCTTGCCTATAAGAGAGAGCTTTTGAGGCAGCATCAACAAGGTCCTGTTGTTGCTGATCAAAGGCCTGGTGACAGAAACTCAAAAAATTGTATTAATCATATTTAGTTCATGAACAAGGAGCTGAACAAAGAAGAATAAAAACAGAGCCATTGTGCAAATGGAAGGAAACACTAGGCTAGTGCCTACCAGACGCATATAGGCAATGCGCTTTTCAAGAACATATTTTTCATTGCGAATTTGTGCTACCTGCAAGTGTAACCATGAATAATTATAAATCCAGAATTAACATGAATAAAGGGGGGGGGGAGAAGCAAGACACAACCTTGACAGAAAATTCAGCAAGTTGTTTACGCAACAAAATCTCTTCTTCATGTTCCCAGGCTTTGACAGAAGCATCCTGGAGAAAAATAGAAGCTAGCAGTCCATAAAAAATCTAAAAGAAAAATCCAACGGCATAGTACAAAAAGGCATGAAGGAACCTGTTTCCAAATGGAATTGGAATTATTTAGTTGAGCCATTGGCATGAGACCCTGTGACAATCGTGAACTGCATTCTCCTTTTAACTGATACCTACCATTTAAAAACAAATGAATAAGAAAAATTCCATGGTTGATGTTCATGCAACGTAAGGAGTAATGCAATATAAGAAGAACCTAGTTTGTGAAAAAGAGGTAGCCGTGGAGGGCGAGGAGAGTCCAGAAAGAGCTGGACCCCTGTTATTATCAGAAGCAGCAGCAGCAGAAGAAAATGCATTCAAAGTGCCATTTAGGATGGTATCGGTAGCTTCGTTTGCAGAAACATTTTGATTGCTAACACTTTCCCCTTTCTGCTTTCCATGAAATACATGTAAAATCGAGCATGAATAAAGCATAACGAAAATATAGAACTTCACTAATAACTAAAATGAAAAAAAAACTTAATTTTCCTACAATTTCTTTGAGCTGCTCTAGTTTCTTCTGGAGTTCAGACCTCAATCGACTGTTCTCTTCCGCCTGAGAATAGATGCAAAAAAATAAATATTTTTCTTTTATCATTACAACTAAAGAAGAAGAAGAAGAAAACCTGTTGCTTAATGGTGGCTTCGGCGACCTCAACAGCTTTCATGACCTGGAACAAGCTATCGTCGTTGTTATTATTGTTGTTGAAGGCCAACCCCGATAGGTTCTCAGCTAATTTCCCATCGTGACCGTTCTCCATGCCCCTACCTTACAACCCACCCCTGTTTAAACGATTCTTAATAATCAAAATCGCAAAAGCCAATCTCGATGATGCCGATGGCGATGGATGCAAACATTTTATCCCCAAAAAGACCCTAACCTAATAATCTGAAAATTTTAAAAATATATATATGAAATGGGGAAAAAACAATGAAATGAGTAGAAGTGGAAGTGGGGAACGGGGAGAAAGGAAGGACAAAGTGTGCGTGTTTACTAAGACATTACAAACAGGCGAACTATAGATTCATTGGCAATAATTTCCCATTATTATTACAAAATTAAAATCATTATTTTTTGTTAAATTATGTTTTACCCGTTTACTATGTATAAATTATAAAGATTCAATCAATTTCGATCTAAATACCTTTCAATTTTACAAATTTCAATTTTGATCGAAATATTGTAGTTTGAAAATTGATTTGAAATGAGAGAACGAAATGAAATGTGTAGAAATGGAAGCAGGTCAGTCCATTATATGTGTGACTTGTGACATGTTATAGGGCTTCAAAATTTGGAGGGTCCACATATGTAAGTTATTTAAGCCCGTTTATGTATAATCTTTATGCTTTAACGATATTTTTTGTTCGAAGGGAAAAAATTCTTTTGGTTCGTGGAAAAATGACAGATAAAGTTATAAATGGAGATTTTGACAATATATTTCATAGTTTTCCATGATGAATTTTGGTAAAAAAAACCTCGTAAATCCTTCATAATTTTAAATTGACAAATTACTTTTTATTACAAAATATTTTAAGAACTTCATCTTAAAAAATAACAATATATCTATTTATCTTTTGGGACGGGGTTAAACGAGAGTGAGGAACAATGAAAGAGAAGGATAAGTAGTGTAAGTTAATTAAGACATTATTAGACGGGTAAATAATAAATTCACCGGGCAATAATTTATGATTATTATTACAAAATTACAATGCTAACTTTGGTTAACTTCAATTATCAGTTTTTATAGTGGAGATTATATATTTAGTTTTTATATTTTCATTTGATAAATTTTAATTAGATTTAATCACGACTTAAATATTATAGAAATAATATAATTAAATTAAAGGTTGTCAGGTTTAATGGCTATTGCTTGAATTGTGATCAAAAGTTTAAAATTTTAAAAATAAAGAGATTAAAATGATCAAATTAAAATACATGGACCAAATGTATAATCTATGTATGATGGAGGGACTAATAGAAACATTATACCATCTATTTATATAAATAAAAGTACCGAGTACCACCTTGTAATACTCCTGGTTGTAAACTTGTAATAATAATTATCCTTAAAAAATTGTAATAATAATTACAAATGAAGCCTACATTACATATTAATCTAATAATTATAAAAATAAAAATAAAAAAAAATAAAAACAAATGCATTTGGGGCTGACTTTTCTTCCTCTTGTCGCTTCCAGCCTCACCTACTTTTTTTTGTCCATTTTTTAATTAATAATAGCTTATCCTCCATGCCACGCATCATTTGAGTTAAATTAATAATAATGATTTATCATTGAAAATTTCTAGAATCGACATTGTATATCGAAACATATTATTAATGTTTCATATCGATATATAATATTAATTAAATTATTTTTATTAAATAAATATTAAAATTTTAATGACATGTCGATTGTAACACCCCTAACTCTTACCCGACCCGGATACAAATTCGAGGTGTCACATTGACTTCTCAAAACATTGATTTATAACAAATAAAGAAAAATTTAACTTTTATTCATTTTAACAAGGTGAGCTCTTTAATTTAAAACAACATATAAATCTCACATCCATACTTAATAAAAATATTTAATAATTTAAATAAATACAAAAGTATGAGTTTACAAAAATAGATCAGAGCATTTCAAATTAAACTTGTAATACATGCCAACAGTTTACAAAAATTACAGAAAACCTACATTCAATTTGTCTTGATCTGATCTTCAAGGGAGTACACTATCCTCGCCTAGCTTTACTCTTCAAATTTCTTCAAACCTACGTGTGAAACCATCACACGTTAAGTCGATGACTTAGTGAGGCAATTGCGAGCAACTAAAGTTATATAAGCAAAATCTTTATTTATTTCATAAAAACATTTCATAAGGATTTCAAATGATTTTCCCACAACAAGAATGTATGTTGTTATACATTATTTGTTTTATAACTTTGTATCCAAATGTACAACGTATACTACTGAGAATTTTAAGTATTTGAGTACATTGAGGTTGTGCACTAATGTTGTCACCATCAACTCGTAATTTGCACCGAAGTGCCACATAATTGTCTCGAAGGATCACATAAGTTTGTCCCGAAGGACTACATAGGTTTGTACCGAATGACCACGTAGGTTTGTCCCGAATGACCACATATAATCCTCGACTCTTGGCATGCCAACTATACCTCTAATCATCATACATATACATTGGGATTTTAACCACATAATTATATGTCATTCATTATTCGAAGTATATCTTATTCACATAGGCACTTTCACATTGAGTATTTTCATATACACATGTTCATATGTCACATTTCCATAATCATATACACATGATCATCATTCATAACTTACATAATAGAAATTGAATAAATTATTATAAAGATATAGCATAAAAGAAATTGAAAGGTTTTCAATCGAAAACACTGAGGTTGGCTTATCGCAAGCCTTCCTCAATTCTAATACAAAATCGAAAAGTTGCACTCACCTTTGCCTCACTGAAGTTCTAAATGAAGTCCTTAACACTTTTGATCGAAACTTATAAAGTCGAGTTGACCGGAAGTTGATTTTGTTCAATGTCTACACAAAACAATCGAAAATAAATATCGGAATTTGAATCACTTATATTCAATCATAATAACTTAAGTTGAAAGAAACAGTTAATTTCTCATTTTATGCTCAATAGTATCAGTACTCCCACTACAGTACCTATACTTCCCTTCAATGGTATCGATACCCCCCTACGGTACCAATACCATTTTAAATTCTGGAAATTTATCTTGGAAATGGTATCGATACTCCCATTTCAGTATCGATACCTTCTTCAACCAGTACCGATACTACTCTTCGAATTCAACTGATTTTGCCTTGAAGTATCGGTATTGTTCTTCTAGTACCGATACCCCATGCCCATAATTGCCAATTTATTTTGAAATTTAACAAAAAACTTATCTAATCTCCTACTTTTACCTCCTTCTTCACCTTTAAACTCAACTTCATTCATCCAAACCAACTTGTCTTCATTTACTAATCTTAAACATACAAAATTTCACTAAAACTCTTACATCTCAACAATCATACCATGATTTTAAACAAGTTCTTAATCATTTCTAATACTCCTAACTCTTTAGTTAGATTCTTGACAAGTCAAATATATCAATAAAACTCAAAAACAACCCCATATCAATATTTCATTTCAAACCCCATTTTACAAATTCATTTATAATTCACTTCTCTTGTTGTTTTAATCATTTACAAGTTTTCCTTAAGCTTTTATAACCCTCAAACTTTCAATACCAAACCAGAAATTGAAGGAATCAATAATTTACAAAAACATACCTTTGAAGTGGAGCTCACGGGCAGAGGAACAAGACAAGAAAAGGATTTCCAAACTATTTCCCCAACAACCACGTGCTTATCCCTTAATAAAGGAGATAAAATATCCTTTAAAATGAAAGACCATAATACCCTTTCTACTAATCCAAATTTGCTATCAAGCCCTACACAAAAATCCACAAAAAATCCTTCAATTTTTCAAACTATTCTAATTAAACCTCTAAGTTCTAAATTCTTACTTGTTGAAAACATTTTGATGTTTCGATATAACAAATTAAATACTATTGAACTTTACGATTTATTCTATTTTAAATCATATATTCGATTAAATTATTCCAATATAAAAAATATTACTACAAGTTTTCAAATGTCAATTTTAAACCTTACTTAAGTGTAAAATTGTGTTGTAGTCTTAAAATATTTTTGAAACAATTTTTACAAAGTATTTCGAACTTTAATCGGGCCAAAAATAATTTTTACAAAGGGATGTACCGATACACCCCCTACATCGAATGTAATTAGTGTACCGATACACACCGATGTATCGATACACTCCTGGCTCCGAGAAACATCGAATGTAATTAGTGTACCGATACACCTGGGATGTACCGATACACTAGGTCAACTAACGGTCAAAATATTTGAATTTTACACTGAGTATATCGATACACTTGAGAGTGTACCGATACACCTACGCTCCCAACAGATTTTTTAAATGATAATTATACCATAACGACTCTATTGACTTCACCAATGATCCCCAAAGTTCAAAAGTGATCCAAGGTGTATTTAAACAAGCTTAGGAGCCATTGATCAACAACAAGAAACAAGAATTGAGAAAGAATCAAGAGAGAAAGCATCAACACCAAGTTTGTGAAATTCAAGCCAATTTTCCTTCAATATTCATTTTGCTTTCAAAAACACATTTTGTGCTCAATTGTATTCATCTTTGAGTGTTCTTTTCTTGTTCTAGAATTGTGCAAACAATCTACCTTGTGAGGTTTTTTTGTAAAGTTTGCGAATTTGTAATTTTCTCTTTGGGAGAGAGTGTTCTCAAGAACTTGGGGTATAATTCTTGAGGGAGTTGTAAGGTTACTATTTATCCTCAAAAGAAAGAAAAAATTAGTGAATTTGTTGGAAAATTCTTAGTGTGGATAGCTAAGGTAGTGGACGTAGACTTTGGTTGAGAAAGTCGAACCACTCTAAATCACTGTGCAAATATTTTCAACTTTCTGCAAAAGCTTCCACCAAAATTTTTATTGCCAATTCACCCCCTCTTGGCCGATTCATAGATCGATTAACTCAACAATTGGCATCAGAGGTACACTCATTTGAAGGTTTAACCACCTCTTGGGTCGATTCGGGAAGAGTTAAATCGATAAAGATGACGTCCACTTCCGGTTCATTCTCTATGGAAGACTCACGACCAATTGGCGTGCCTTCTTACTTCAATGGAACAAACTATCGTCGTTGGAAGAGGTTTATAATGGTATTTATCCAAACACATGATCTTGAAGCATGTATAATAATCAAGAAAGGATAATCTCCTCCTACGAAGAAGGCAAAGAAGTGGAGTGATTAAGAACGAAAGAAAGCTCAGCAAAACTCAAAGGTTATGCACATGTTATGTTGTGCAATTGATCCATAT